GGGTGTCAGACTTTGGATACCTTTAAGAAATCTGATTTTCAGGGAGCAAGCACTTAAAGCTTCTCTCAAAACCATGTCTTCTTAAAATTGCACACCTTAGCCTAATGGTCTGGTTCTGGTTCTGAAGTCTCCCCACCATACGTGGTCCTTCCCCAGGAGATCAGTCCCCCAGACCAGGAGCCCTATGCTCAGAGATATTTTGTCTTATTTCACAGGATTTGTTCAGTGGGGTTCAGAGCAGTGAAACCCAGTAAATAATACATTGAACAAACAGAGAAGATAACAAAAGGAAATAGTTAAGGTACTATAATAATTTTAGCCATTCTTTTTTCAGGTCACTATAATCTGCCCAAAGATAACTAATTGTTCAAAGTAAACATTCCAGTCTGACCACAAAAGGAATCCATTACACAAACATATAATTCACAGTCATTTTTAGTGGGTTGTAAACAGTTTGGAATGAGCATAAAATGGGACAAAAATCAAAGTGAGCATTTAGAAATGAAAAAGTGTTTGCTACAAAAGGTCAGTCCCTTTACTTGGCAAACTATGTAGAAAAGCCTGGGAAAATGTTGAACACACAAGCAGTAAGGGAATTTTAAAGCCAACAACCTCCCTGTTTCTTTAAACAGACATCGGAACCTATAACTGGATCCTGTCAAACAAACGACTGCAAAAAAACATAACAGCTGCTAAGAAGTAAAGTTGAAAGATAAAGTTTTCTAAGCTAAGAACCTTCTCAGAAGTGGACTAAAGGTCTTTCTTAAATCTTTAAGCAAGGTTATGGATCCCAGGGTGGCTTTTAGGCATTGAATCAAATATGTAATTTTGTGTATCATTCCTGTCAGAGCATCCTGTGCTCCAAGAAAAGCAACAGAAAACAATGTCTGCAATGTCCAGTTTAGAATGGAAACGGTACCTGTAATCATCAGCTTTGCTGCCTGCAGTGTCATTTTTCAAGTCATTTAGGCTGATTTGAGAACGCTAACTTGGATTTGGGAGTGGAGGGAGAAAATGAAGGACATTTCAAAAGAGAGATGAAAGTTAAATTATATTTCCCTGGAGCATTAGTGTTGTATTTCTTTACAAAACCTAAACTACACTACTACACTGGATATCTTCTATAGGTTTAAGACAGTGACTGCTTGGGGTGTTCATTTACTCTGTCATTAGACACACAGACAAATGATCATCCCTGGAAAAGAGTTTAGTATCAGACTGTTTTCACACGATAAAACTTCACTATGAGAAATACTGGATGGCATTTTGTTTAGGTACAATGCAGACTGATATTTTAATATTTTTTATGAGTTCCACTCATGCCTTTCACATATTAAAAAAAAAAAAAATGTAAAAAACCAGCCATCACTTTTAAAGGGTCATGGCTAACAAAATAAATAGGTGACTCAAGAAATGACTGGAAATAGTATCTGGCCTAGAAACACCAAAATCTTGCAATGGGCCCCACCCTTGGCACGAGTGCACAGCATGTGAGTTATAGTATACTGGGTGGATGGTCCCAGGCTTTCCCTGTTGCACCGTTCAGCTGAGGGTCAGGGCTACCTATCGGACACTTTCTGGGGAAAAGAAAAAGTGTGGAACACAGACTGAAAAAGGCAACTCAACAGATAGCTCCAGAAAAAGCCTCCAAGGTAGATGTTGATGGCAAAGTAAAAGAATACACAGAAGAAACAAGGTACACACTTTTCCATTAAAAACTTTCCCTCCAGTTCCCTGAGAAAGTAGAAAGCAAAGAAATTCTTGAGTAGACACTGTATTTCTTCAATCTGATCATTGCATGGTAGAGAATTATTCTCTTATCCTCATCAGGTCCCATCATACATGTGGGAGATTTTTTCTATTTAGAATACTGCATTATATACCATGGGTGCCATGCTTTTCATAGACTCATAGTATCATTTGGTTGGAAAAGACCTTAGAGATCATCGAGTCCAACTGTACCTGTCCAATACTAAACCATATCTCTGAGCACCTCATCTACCCATCTTTTAAATACCTCCAGGGATGGTGACTCAACCATTTCCCTAGATACTATTGACTTTGTTGACACAGGTCTGTACAGCTAAATATTCAGGACAAGAAGTTCATCAAAAATTATGAATGAATAAATAATACAGGAAGAATGAAGAAAAAAACCTGAGCTTGCTGAAAAAAAATAAATAAATGTGATAATTGCCTTGCAAGTTTACAAGAATGGGCACATTTTTATTGACTTTCTTCATTAAACTCCACTACTAGCTTTGCAAGATGGCTGAGTAAATGTAGAAAGACCTTCTGCCTCCCAGTCCTATTTCAATAACTACAAAGAGCAAAAGAGGCTGGAAAAATGAAGTCCGCTCTTGAACAAGTGAATCCTTGTCAGATAAATAAATATGCATTATAGCGTGAGAATTTTTAGAATAAACCTCATAAAGCACCTCTGTCCTGAACTGGTGAACAAGCAAACAGTAGCCTAAGGGATAAATAACCAAAATCTGATCTAAGTTGCAGTAAAATAATTTCAGAATAATTCCTTCAATTTCAATGTAGATATTCACTTAAAAATAGTGTAACTAAACAGGAAATCTTGCCAACAGTTAATGACACCCTCTACATTTTTAATCTGTGGGAGAATATTACTACAGTTGGCTATTGTATGTAACCTCATCTAAACAGGAAAATGTACTAATTAATATAGTTTATTCAGATCACGGCTAGACTTTCTTTCTGTACACAAGTGATAATGTTTTAAAAATCAGAAAACCAAATAGAAAACCAATAAACTAAAACCACAAGCTGATAAATCAGACACAACTGTTCAGCAAAGAATGAATATTTTGTAAGTAACATTTAAGGTTAGTCTCCTAAACTCTTTTTTCCTAATAATCCTTTATCTTAAACAAAGCACGCAAGTAACATTTTTGGTACAGTTACAGTATGTAGATGATATATTTTCTAAATAGGAAAAAAAGCTTTTCTACAACAGCCAATATGCCAGCTGTACTGAGTATCTAGGCCATCTTACTAAGACTATGAAAGTAAACATACAGTTTTCATTAAATGTGCCTTTCCCATAATTGGTACATAAGTATTTCCCATGACTCTGCAGTTGAGTATCTTGGCTGGAGGCATATCTGGCCATTAAGAGAAGGGTTTCAGATCTGTTGAGTCTCAGCCATGCCGGGAGACTTGGCACCTCCACATACTGCTTCCTAATACCAACCCCGGTATAAAATGTCATCAGAAGCTTGCATAAACATTGGACTTAGCTTCACATAAATTACTGCTGTCCTGAGATAGTTTATGCCAGAACTTAGTAAAAACAACACTTTGAGTAAATAGAATGTGAGTAAATGCAAGCTTCTAATCCAAGAAAATAATAATAGAAAAAAACTGTATATCAAATATAAACTCATAAATACAGTGATAAAATGAAATTTTTATCTCATGCCATATGATTAGCTTTTATTTACATACTAGACTAACTAAAAGGGATAGACTTCTCTAAGTCACAGCAAGTTTGAAGGAAAGACAAGAGCAATAATGCAATACTCTGAAGGATGAACTCTCAAGAAGTAGTGATATTTTCATTTTCTTCTGTGAACATTTCTCTGATAATCACACAGACAATAAACATCTAATTAGGTTTCTTGGATTTTTCTATTACAGTTCAGCAGTGCAGAGACCTCTGGCCTCACTTCTCCTGGAGGAGTAGTGAGATACCACAAAACATCTATGAAATATCTAGTGCATCTTTTGGAGAACCTGTGCTAAGATTGTAACCAAACAGTCAATTAGGCATGTTCTGCATGGCGTGGCATTTTTATAATCTAATCTCTGCCTTTCCTTTTCATGTTCTGAATTTCTCCTCACAATTCCTCCTCTATTAATAGTCACTTCACACATTTCTCCCCTTTCTTTGTCTCTTTCTTTATCCAGCCTCCAGCCTTCCTCCAAAAAACCAATGCTACTATCTCCCCCTACTGAACGATCACCAGTTTGTTAGTCTCTGACTTCCTGCCAATCATTCTGGGAGTAATAATATCCCAGTGCTCTCTTTGCTGTATAATTAAAGCATGAATTTCCCAGAGTTTGAAACTCCAGGGTAGTTTTATTACACCTTTCACTATAAAACCAGGTAACAATGATAGAATTAAAATAGCTTTTTCCTTTGTGGTTAACGGTCTAAGTATCTTTTTATTTTTCATTGGTTCTCTTGTTCTGAGACTCCAGTATATGGCAGTGACAATGGGTTCACCCAGCCTTATTCTGAAAATAAATTTTCTATCTTTTGCAAGATATATGTTTCCCCAGATCCCTGGAACAAGTTGTAAACTTGTAACAGATGGTGATGAAGCCTCACATTTTTATACAATACATTTTAAGATTCTGCATCTACCGCATGTACCTTCCAAAGAAAATGACCTTCAATGAGAGAAGACACACTCTGAAGAAAGGAAGGCAGGCAACGGTGTTAAGCACATCTTTTCATACCAAGAAAATCCTTCTTATTAAATTAATCAAAACTTTTAATGAGGATGGATACTTATTCCAATATTCTTACAATATTATGGCTTTTTAAAATAACTGTAAAAATTAGACACCTGCACATGTTAAAAAAATATGGTCACACTAGAATAACATTTATTTTGGTTGAGTACAATTCAGGACTTAGGAAAAAAGGTTGGCATTACGTTCACAAGAGACTTCAGAATGAAACTTACTGACATTTTATTGATGCTCAACATTTGCTTACCCAGAGAAGGACTGAAACAACAACATGTCAAACAAAATATAAGGAATAATCAGCATGAGTGGGTTCTATTAGTGTCTTATCATGTAACAAAAATGAAGATACAGAATGTGATATAGTTCACTTCATAACTATATTATAAACTGAACTGCCTGCCTACCCTGGCAATTCGAGCAGAGGCATGAGGTTAAAGTTTTGAATAGTAATAAAGAAAAAATAATATAGTGTTAAATATTATGGTACTTACCTCTTTTTTCAACAGCATTTATACACAGTCTTACAAACTGGGGGACTGTAGATTTCTCATGTTCACAAACCAAGTGTAAATGGGAGCCAAAAATTTGATCTACATTTGGAAAAAAAAAAAGGAAAATACTTTAAGGCATATGATTAGTAGTGGGATTTTTCTCTCTTCTGAGCTTGCATATTAATTAAAAACTTATCTATCAAAGATAGACAAAGTTAGAAACAAATCCTTTCTGATTCCTAGCAGTTATTAACTTCTGCCACAGAGCCAAACCTCTCAATACCTGCTGCCCATAAGACTCAGACACTTCCCCTAGGCTCAAGTTTCCGTTGTGATTTAGACCTTGATCTTGGCCTTTCTAAGGCTTGGATGTCTCTAGAGTTTGCATGGACCTGAAACAGTGAAAGCCATTCTAGAGATACAGTTCCATATCTTGTTGAATCCAAAAGCCTGCATGATATTAACTGATGGTCCAATCTTGAGACTCATATTGGCAGGTACCCTGTCTCTTCCACACGTATGGAGTTTCACTCTTGTCATAGAGCAGCATGGGAATGCCAGGGCTTTGTTACTTTACATCATTAGGACTTAGTACAATTTTATATCATCTTTACAGGTGTTTTTTGGGGTTTTGGGGGGGTTTTTTTGTTTGTTTGTTTGTTTGTTTGTTGTCAAATTACCTGTTTAAAAAATAGAAGGTACTAGATGTATTTTTGATGAAGATTGTGTATTTTACACCAATTTTAATTTGTGATTTTTGTTGTTTCTTTGACAAATATGAATTTAACTAGATAATGCTACCTTTTAGTTTTATGATTTTAAAGTTTTGATCAACTTTGAATGTTGATCTTAGAATCATAGAATGGTTTGGGTTGGACCTTAAAGATCATGTAGTTCCAACCCCCCTGCCATCAGCAGGGAGACCTTTCACTAGACCAGCCTCATCCAGCCTGGCCTTAAACACTTCCAGGGAGGGGGCATCCACAACTTCCTTGGGCAACCTGTTCCAGTGTCTGACCACCCTCACAGTGAAGAACTTCTTCCTAATATCTAATCTAAACCTACCTTCTTTCAGCTTAAACCCATTTCCCCTTGTTTTGTCATTAACTGCCCTTTATTTTGCCCCTATCTTGAAACACACTTGTATAAGCAGGTTAAACTCTTCAGATTACTACTTGCTTCCTCCACCTCATTTGTTTGAGAAATTATGAGAAGAGCAATCAGTAATGAGGAAGTTGTCAGCTAAAATCAAAATGAATCAAACAGATGAGAGAAACTACTCAATAGGAGACAGTTAAATGCTCAAACAATAGGAGTGCATTATCATCATTTATCCAAAGAGACCGTCTCCATATAGCATTTCAACAAGGTACTACAGTTTGGAACTTGGAGCAGAGGCTTTGAAAATTTTTGTATAGATAGCTGAGGGGTGCTAGCACAAGCTTGGGCTCTGCAGAGCAAACTCAACAAGCACGTTAACTTGCAGAACAGCAGGAGCTCCTGTTCTCTACAGCTCCCACAGCGCTGGATATTTCCTCCATAGTCAGTCCTACCATCTTCCACCATAATCAGCTTGAGTGCAAGCTTCCTCCAAGCAATGCAGCTTTTCCTCACTAACAAGCAAACCCCATTTGTTTATTTTCCACTTTGCAAAGAGCTTTGCTTTCCTGTCGTTAATCACTGCTATTTCTTATTAAGCTTAGATTTCAAGAGCAACTCAATCACCTTTTCTTTTCTAATACTCCAGAATAGAGATCAATCAGGGAAACAAAGCTGGGTACACGGGATGGTTTGGACTTCTTGATATGTGTCAGGAAAATTTATTCCGGCACCTCCCAATGCGTGCGATCATCATTCTGATGGAGTACACCAAAGCCTGAATTTAAGTTAGTCAGAGTTTCGGTTGCAGAAGGGATGGAGGACTGAGTTCACAGAGCTACACTGAAGAGGGCTGTGTGCATGTGTGGCGTTAAGCATTAGCGAACAGTCTGTTACATGTTTTGGGGTTATGTTTCTGACAAAGCACAGTCTGGTTACATTTTCTTCATAAAACATTTATAGATGCCTTCAGTGGTAATTATATATACAGAGATTTATGATTAAAATGTACTAGCACTTCCTCTTTTGACATCTTAATTGTTTTTTTAAAATTTTAGCAAAGACCTGTCAAATTCTTTGCATAATAAAGAATGGTCTCCAATGTAAATTATGTTAAAAAGAAGGAAAAAATATATCTTATTTGGTGGACAAAGACACTTGTAAACAATTTCAGAAGTAAAACAGGCAAAGAACTGCACTGTGTTTAGATGGCAATACATGAAGAACTGAAACAAAATTGATGCATGATGCTCAGCAGCTTCCCTTCTCTATTATAACCACTTTATAACCAAGTTCCAGGATTATTTTGCAGTTACTCTTTCTATTCACAGTATGAATGCAGAATAGTTGGTATTCCTGGGAGGAAATTTTAAAAAAGGCTGGAAACTGTTACATAATTCTCACCTAGTACATTACTTCTTTTTTTGGGTGCAGATTCTGTATCTTCTCCAGCAAAATGTTTAACCTCATTTTAGGTACCTTTCAGTATATGGATATAGTCACATTCTGTATCCTGCAGTTAAGTTTTAAAACACTTCTTCTTTAGAAACCTGGCACTCAGGATTTTAGTCTTGAATGGAAAGGGCAGCAAATCAGCACTGGTAGTTGTTGGGCATCAAAAGAGACTATGGTAAAACAACGACACACAACGGCTGTGGATTCCCCCCCCCACTTCTAGAAATTAATGAGCATTTATAAGTACATGATCCCATGAGTCATCCAAATACTCTGAATTCTGGGTATTCCTGAACCGCAAACTCCATGACTCTCTCTAGTCAATTGATTTTTTGCTGGATCTGTTTCTGTACATAAACATGGGGATAGCAGTAGTTACACTGCCATATTTACACTCTTAGAGGTCACAGGGGCAGTTGAGGAAAACTCAGTTGAGATTTGCTTGCGCAGTATTTTGAAAACAAGGAATTATAGGAATGGCAAATTACTAACTTTTGTAAACTATGTGCATGTGTATGTTTATGTGTAACTAAGATTAAAATTTTATTTTCTTATTCTTTTATAGGTGTGTATATATACTTTGAAACTAGTTTAAGGGGAAACTATTCAGGACATATTTTTCAAAAAATAACTGCTCCCAGAGGGATAAAAGAAGCAAAAAAAGCCTTTGTTTGATTTATTTGTGATAAGGCCCTTCAAAACTTCATTTTTTATGACTTGAAAAAAAGAGATGTACACAACACTCCTAACCTCCTGTTATGACAGTTTATGTTTCCTATCCAGCTTATTTAACTCAAATGCCTGGGAAACAGACACAATTACCACCTTATGGAATGCTACTTAACTTTAAATGCTCCCCTCTGAATAAAAATCTACTTTATCTTCTCAGAGTTATTCCAGTTTCTCAGAAATTATTTCCTCTATAGGCTCCTGAAATGCTCTTGTTTCATCATTTAAAAATTTAAGCTAACAATTGTTCAGAAATATCTTTTATTAGAACAAAGGCAATTCCCATACAGTGGATTCTGTTCACAAGAGCTTTGTACAAAGGAGCTGCATACTATGCCCATATACAGCTTTAATCATTCACTCTTTCAGCTGTTATCAATTTAAAACCAATGAAACTCCCACACTGAGTCCATTTGAGCAGTCAATTTTAATATCTCGGGGCATCTGTAGTTGTTCTGAATTGGCTGCAAAAGCAGAACTAACAAGTTAAGCTCTAACCATAAGTCTACATCAGGCTGGTAAACCATACATCAAACGCAGACAGTTAGTCAATACTGTAGTATGAAAAACCAACAAGCATTTTTAAGAAGAGCAATATATTCATAATATGTTTGGTGGTATGGTTTACATTACACATCCCTGATATCTGCGCATTAAACTTTCTGTTGAAGATGGTGGGGTGTGTGACAGCTTTGCACATGGACATAAAACGAGACACCAGAAGAGGAGGGAATGGACATTCGCAAGTTGTATAACGTAAAATGATGATTACAGCTGCAATGAATTGCTCCTTCTGCTGAGCTTCAAGTTTTCCCTCAGCCTGACAGAGCTACTTTTTTTTGAGTAGTTCTTGCAGGCTGCAGCAAAGCCACTAATTCCGAGCTGCAGAAATCTAGTCTATGGGAGACAATACTTCTGGAAAAGAAACAATTAAAACAAAATCACTAAAGCCACATCCTCACTGAGAATGTCATTGTTTCACTGGTTTTGGTGTACATGGATGAGATGCGGCCACACTTGGAAGGAACTCATACTTCAGTGTTTTTTATTAAAAAACACAGGGAAGGGCATAGCTAATACTCCCAAACTCAAATTCTGACATGAGAGGAGAAGGTATAATGGTGTAATGCCCAAGTTTTTAGAAATGTGAATCCTACCTATGTAACTCAGTGCCTTCCAGGAGCAGAGTTAACTCTGCTACATCTGGATTTGAACTGCTGGAGCTTTGGATCAACATCCAAGTTATTTTCTTTGTATCTGAATGTTGGGAAGAAAAAAGGGGAAAAGAGAATAAAAAGGCAAAATAAGAGAAGAATGTAGGGACAGAGGGACAGAACAATAGATACCACAGCAGTGAATTTTTTGGAGGGGGAAGGGATGTGGATGGAAAGGGTCATATTCTGAAAGGTGACTCCTTCTAGCTGCTCAATCTGTAGAGTCAGACATATTAAGTCAGACATTAAAATGATACTGATCCCAGACTGGGGCTCCAAATAATGCCACGACGCTTTTACAATAAGTGGGCCAGGTCCTCAGCTGACTGAAGTCAGTGAGGTTGTCAGTGGAGCCCCCCTGATTTATGCTATGCTGGGCATCTTGCCAGTCCTTTTAACTTGGAGATTTACTGTATATCGTTGATCTGTAGTGGTCATCAATTAAAAAAATTATTTCATTTGTGAACAGTTACTGTTAAGTGGCATATGAACTACCAGATTTGTTTCACATTCTGAGAAGAAGTGAAAATACAGAGTACTGCAGATACTGGACTTTTAAAGAAGTGATGGTGTTTTACTGAGGACAAGAGCTCATTTGAATTAAAAGAGAGTGAGTTTGCTGTACTCCTCAAAACAAGTCTCCAAAAATTAGATATTTTAAAATTATCTGAATCATTTCAGACCACCATGTCAAAGATAAAAATCATTTTGTCCAGTGTTTGGTCATCCACAGGGCTTGGGAAACATACTTCCAAAAGACTATGTAGTGTTTAAAGAAAGAAAGACGCCTGTGAGACACTGTCCTTGCAAGTCAAAGGAAATATTTCTTAACTTTCCCTAAGTTATTATGGGCACCAGATCACTTGGTAAATTCCTGCATAAACCAGGACAATTACAGAACACACCAAAGGTGAGTCTTAATCTGCACTTTTGGACTTCTCATGAGTGTTACACTCATTACATTGAACTACTCCAAGGTCCATTGAGACAACAAAGACTTTTCCCTTGTCTGGAAATAAAATGGTCGGTGATCACTGCACTGCTATCTGCACAACCACCAACATATGCTAAGCCCTTTTCTATAGACTATCAAGCCAAATCACAGCTAGTTCCTTTCACTAGCAATTGAGTGGCTTTTATTTTCATCTTGAAACTGTTGTAATCCTTCCAATTTTTATGCTGTTTGGTTTTTGCCTTAACTTACACAACAAATTCAATGAAGTTCCTTTGGTGTCTAGCTTTTGGAAAAAAAAAATCCACTCCCAATAAAACTATACTAAGTTCTTGCCAGCTGCATAACTACATTTTCCTCATTTCCCACAGTGTCATTTACGTTGTTACTCATGCTTTTTTACCATTTACTGAAAGTGTATTTTGTGATAGTTATTACCAACACAACCACCATAGTTTTATAATCACAGCTTCACAGAAGTTTTTGTTGTTAGGTTTTGGGGTTTTTTTCTGGTGGACCAGAAAGGCTCAGAAATCAGGAAGTTAGCAGGCCAATATCAAGTTGAAGGTTGGCAATTCATTTAGGGTAATATTAAATCATGACAAAGCTCAAACATAAAGATCAAAGTTCAATTATAGACTATAAAGCAGTTATAAAAGAGAAGATTTATATATTATTTTTCTAGCATATTAGTGCAGATTCTGTAAATTCTGAGAATATTTCAGTCTCGAGGAACTGAGGACCCCTGCCCTAGCATATAAATTTGAACACAGTTATTCTCGAAATAACACTCTTAAAATGGCAGACATAGAACATGCCTCTTATTTACTATTTCTAGGTTTGGGTGCATGCGTGGGTGCATATGAACATAACTGTGCATATAGATGCATACATATTGCAGAAAAATACTGTATTACACATCATCTTGAAAACTACTCAAAATGCTTCTAGACCAAAGCTATTTTGTGCAAGCGTGAGCGAGATGGAATGAGAAGGACTGACGATCTTCATTAGAGCTCTCGATGGAGCATGAAAAACCCCAGTCACCAGCCCATCGCAATGAATGGAGCCAACGTGCTGTTCCCATTCTGGCTTCTTTTACACAAAGGACTAGAAAGCAAATGGGACAGCGATGACAAAAATAACTTTTTGTCATGTAAAGTGTTGGCACATCTTCTTTTTCAGATCAACATGCAACTAACATTTACACTTTGGTCTGCTACATTCCCTTGCCTGATTATTAACCTCCTACTTATCATTCTCATTCGTTAACTACCTACTTTATTTACTACATGGATATTTGCTACATCCTACATAAATAAAGTATTATTAAGAGTTAAATGACAATCACATAATTTCTAGATTTTCTGATAACAGTGTTGGCAGAACAAAGTACCCCAGGAGATCAAACTGCTATTTAATTTTGAAGCCTGTATTCCCAAATTTGGTTAATGCGGAGAAATGTGTCAAGTCTTCTGGCCAAGTGTGTACACATCAGTGACTAACAGAACACAGAACTGTGTTTAAGTGAACTTACCACCTTAAAATGTATTTACTCATGACTATAATTTATGTGTTAAATTTATTGGAGTTTTGGTTCCAATGTGACATACAATGTAAAAAATCAATATAGATTTGAGAGCTTTATAGTGCCCCTGGCAAATATGAATAGCACTTGATGAAAAGTGAAGGTTTTCACAGCACCTACAATGCCACTGCATTGGAGTAATTAACACCACACGCTTCATGGATATTTATATCAATTCTTCACTAGCACACAGAACAGCTCTTTGTCAGAAATTTGGTACCGAGATGTCCTGCAAGGCTTTAGACACACTTTTATTATGAGCCCCTATTTTAAGGGATTTACAGTTCTGATAGAAGTATTTCCCTATGGGATAAAAGTTAGTATGCATGTTCTCAGAGCTGGAGGAATTTTTTCTTGTAAAAAATTGCTTAACATTTTTTTCCCTTAAGAAATAAGCAAATAAATAGTTTTGAGAGGTTTCTGCAATCATTTAAGTCACCTTTAGAAAAATAAATAGATGCATCTTACAATACCAGATTGGCAAGCGCTTCATTTTTAATCTGAAGGGTTGCATTTTGTGATTTAAAAATATTCTAATGTGAGCCTAAAAATTAACATTTAAAAGTGGTCTCTGTATAAGCAGAGCAACTGCATTTTCATAACATTTTAACAGATTAAGGGATAAACTCTGGTGAAGACAATGAAGGAACCTTATCGAATAAGCATTTCACATAGACTTACCGTAGATTGGAATTAAGCCGTGCTAACGAATCCTGCCTCATTTGCATGGCCAAAACCTAATCCTAATGAAACTTCATGGTAGATAACTAACATGTTTTCTTCATGGTGACATTAGTTTGGTAAAAAAAAAATCCTGCCGTGTACCAATTCTGAATTACTGTGTCACAAATCATGTATCTTCCTTACCCATGGAAAAGTATCCCAGGTAGAACCAAGCTATGTTTATCAGTCAAGAGCTTAATGCAACTGTAGCCAAAACCAAATGCATCTGTCTTTCCTAGAGAGATATATTAGAGGATGGATTTGAGTTATGCTAATGAATCTGGATTTGTTAGCAGGGATCACATCTGATCCCTATGTAACACCACAGGAGATTCATCAGCCACACTTTATTAAACTAAAAAAAACCCTCTTAAATCCAGAAATTAAAAGACTATAAATTACTACTCTATTACTGTAATAACTGAAACAAACCAATATGATGCATTCAAATCCCACCCTCAACCCACAGAGTACTTCAAAGAGGTAAAACCCTTCAATATATTGAAATCAGATACTATGAATTTTTAAGGAGAGATTCTGAAAATTTGGTGTGTGAATGAGTGTGCACACCTCACACACATATATTTATGTATGAATTACATTTTTTAAAGTGCCTTTGGCAGTTAGAAGCAGAAGCCCATCACTAAGGCACATCATGATTTCATATAAAGAAGACTTCCCTACAGTGAGAAATATTGCACTGGACGTTTCTACATGGATCTAAACTAGAAGAACTTAATTCATAAAATCTTCTCCTGCTCTTCAGACATGGACCCAGCTGGTGTTTTACTCTTGTGGTTTCTTTAGCTTTTGCTGTCTGGGGTCAATCTCTTGGTTCAGGACAGAAAAGTTTAATACACACTAGCAACATCCCTTGCCATTTTTGACGCACCACTGGAAAACTCACACTCCAGAGATTGACAGGGGCTGCTGGCAAAATGCCTCTTTCTAGTCAATTTGCAAGTGCAGTTGTGGGTTTCACACATAATAATTTGGGAGTGTGTAAATTTTTAAAACATTATTCCAGACAATATTTAAAAACATGGCTTTGCTTGATTACTAGTGGTCAGAATGCTGCTGCCTTCAATTTAACTACCAGCTTCTTACCAAAATGTTTACTCCTTGGATAAACTAACATACATGTTTTATCAAAGAAACAATTTTTTAAGGATATGTGAAAGTGATGGCTGACCAACTTAGCAAGAAATTGGAGTAGGAAAAAGCCACAGATTCAGATCATTTATTATTCACTGGCACATACTTTAAATTGTTAAAAACGTATTTTGTTGGTGAGTTAGAAAAATAATGAGAGAAGATAGCAAAAACTTTTCCAGCCTACCCTAGGAAACAAATTAGTCAGCACAACATCTGAAGTTCCTATTTCCGATTTTAAAATATAAAACTTTATCAATATTATTTTCTTTAAAAAAAATGGAGTTGTGCAGCATGTTGATTTGCAACATGCATGGTGAGTGCCTGTATTAAGTGGAGGGGCTTCTACCGCATGCACACCAGAGCAGAAAAGTTGAAGTGGTAGTCAGATAACACAGAGACAGATGTAACCACACGTTGATTTTTTCTTTACTCTTCAGCAGTGTAAATTTGATGAGATACAGCAACAAAACCATCTCTAAGTAGTATTTGTCCAATGCACTTATTCATTTAACTGAGAATGAAAAAGAAAATTTCATTTGTGAATTTTTACTTTTTAGTCCAAGAAAGTACATAAGACCGAACACACCTTTAATAAGTCCCTTTTCTTGCAGTGTTTTCAAGGAGGGTCTTCGAGAGATGAACTTCTTTAATCTGCTTTTAACTCGGTTTCTGTCATTTGTGTCGGAGGCACTGTAGTTGAGTCTGAAAACTAAAGGAAATAAAAAGAAAAAGCTTCAGTTGAATTATATTTTTAAAGTAATAGTACTTTGCTTAATTACCCTTTGAAAATAATGGCTATAGTCACCCTAGTAAAATCATACAGTAGGTCAGCAGTGTAGCTGGTTGGATAGTACAAAACATCAGATGAATACTTTTGTGAATAAACATGATGAGTTCACTCTGCTGGCTATTCAGAGAGTTGTATTATTTATTGCCCATAAGTATTTGGATGGCGACCAGTTTACTCATGAAATGTTCACGAATCCCACAAAGTTTCACATGGATGATTTTTCAACTAAAACTCTGGACTCAAAAGTGTGCTATGCACTATTAGCTATATACTACTTGTTATGAGAAAGGATGGATGGTCACACCACTAGTGAAAGACTGAATTCCCTTGCCAAGATGGATTAAACATTATATATATATTTAATGCAGTTATAGAAAACATGGCAGTATGCCATGAAAATTTGTGCAAGATGCATTAATTTATGGAAAGAAAAGTATTCCCATCCTAATAATTATATTTTATTATATTTAGGCATTTACCAAACTGAGGAACAGTTTGAGCTCAATTTATTCCTGCTCTGTGTCAAAAAGACATAGAACCCAGCTGCAGAAAATCCCCTGGAGATTGATTCAAAGGCATAAATTTAACTTTTTTCTCTGCTGAGGTGCTTACAGGGCACCGTCACAGCTATCAAAATAGGCAGTATTAGGAGGAAGGAGAAACTCAGCACTCAAGGTTGGATGCTACAGAAGCAGAAGTGATGCCATGGGAAGACCTTCTCCAATGGTTTCCCTGAACACACAGATTTTTAAGGTTTCTGAACAGATCACCTAAGTCTCATCACTCTTGAATAACACTTATCCTGTGTTCTGGGCTATCTCACCCTGCCCATTCCCTTAAATGCTGAGCAGGAAAATAGGAGAGCCAGAGCTATACAACCTTCAGCTGAAAGAGGGGTGGCTTCTGCTTTTTGAGCAAAGAATAGCTTTCCATTTTCTCTTGAAAATAATAAATAGATAGATAAATAGATAAATAAATAAATAAACAAACAAACAACTGCAACCACACTATTCTCCACAAGTTGAACTTGCAGGACTTGGTCCTTTGTCCCTTTGACAGAACATCTGGACAGTACCCTGGATAGTTTAGCTGCAGTTACAGAGCTGCTTCCTGATCTCCCCATCCAGATTGAATCTCCCCTGTAATGCAGTGATCTTCATATAGGGAAACCAAGGGAAGAGAGAGAGAAAGAGAGCAAAAAGAAAAGTACCATCGATATTACTGGGCTCTTTTGTAGCAAGAAGTTTTGCATCAGTTATAAACAGCACCAGAACACTTAAAGGTGCACAATTATAAAACAATGGTAAGCTAAAATAACTGGTTAGCAACAGTAACAACCCTGGAATATTGTGGTTTACATTACAAATCTGATTTTAACAGCCAAACTTATAAAATGGTTTACGCTTTGCTGTTGTCAAGGGAGAAAAACTTGCCAAATTGTTCATTTTAAGTAAATAGAACATAGCCAATTAAGGCAAGCAATATTTAAACACATGCCTGTGATGATCAGAGCATAGTTTGCTTCTGATTTCACTACTGATTTTAACAGAAGAGTGCTCCATTTTCCCACAGCACTAAAATGACCCCACACATACTTCCACAAACTAGTAATCACATAGGACAAATAAAAGGACACTTTACTGGAAAATACACAGCTTGGTACAATAATCCATCACTTATGAAAAATGGAATTCACATTTTTTAATGGTAGCATTCTTGGAGTGATGTATCATAGAATATAAAGATTAGCATTCAATTGATGGTTGGTGCTTTTTTAACATTATAGCGGAGGACTTTTTGTTCAAAATTGAGCAATCCTTGGCAGGGACAAGCTAAAATTCCAAGTCACTTGGCTGTGCTATAAAAAGAACAACAAATGGATGTTTCTAATTCTGCATCTTAATGGTACTTTGAAACAGTGAAGTGAATTGTATTTAGTCTGGGGACTCTCTTGTTGCTTATGGTCATTTTGTCCATATCAATTCATATTTAGGTTTGCTTTTTCCTGACTTACTGTGAAGCTTCCTCAGTTCAAATGATGCAGGAGTAAAAACTTGTCTTAAGTCACTTTAAGATGTCTTTCACATTTCCCATTCTGTGGGACTCTGAAGCATTTTATGCCCACTTGAACTACACATTTCTCTCTAAACATACACCAGATTTGTTAAGATATTTTAACTGAAGTGAACGTGGCCATCCTGCAAATGGCAGGATGGGGAATCTATGACCTGACAGCAGGGTAAAAATCCCTTTGTTTATAAAGATGCATTAACCCAGCTGGAAGGTTTATACCTGAAGCAATAATTATGGTGTTAAAACTACATCTAGAGGTAGGAATAATTATATATGAATACTTTGGTATATTCTATGTTGAGTTGTATAGCACATAGTTAAAAACAGTAGCAAAGCTCATTTTCATGAATTCCTTTTTTTATTCTATTAAACGTCTGTGAGTCACCAGAGGGAAACTCCAAGCCTCCCAGAAATTCAAGGGTTTAGATAGCATGTTCCAAAACCAAGCTTAGCTAGAAATATTCTTGTTGGGATCTCATTTAGAAATATTCCTTCTCTTGCCAAACCATTCTTCTCGCGATATCCCCACATAAAAATGACTTTGTTATTATGTTTGGAAATATAAAGAAGACCAAATATTACTTCCAAAAGAAAAAAAAAAAGTAGCTATAAAACTCAAAATCCTCAATGCATGTTTTTTGGAGTACCTTCCTTTTTAAATTTCAGGTTCTGGATTTGGCCAGAAGAATTCTCCATAAAAAAGAGCTGGTAAATGTCAAACAACATAAGAAAGTGGAAAGAAGTTCCATACAGAAGTAACATTGAACACTGAAGGACTAAAAAAAATAGGAAATAAAATCTACTGCTTGTTCTACTGCATGTTCCCTGGCATAAACTACGTAGGTGTGTTGTTTGATTCATTGTACTGAATAAATTAATATCGACAGTTTCTGAAGATAGTCACACTGACACAGCCACATAAATGTTTCAAATCCAAGACAGAACAGACGGACAATTCCCCTCCCTTTGCACAGACTCTTCATTAAGTATTTCTTATATTGCACTAAGAGCTTCTGAGACAGAAAAAGGACATGCTCACTCTTGCTAGGCCGGTACATACAGAGGGGAACCCAATAGAGGTCAATATTGGGGTAAAGGTCCTTATTTATTCCACAGGTGGGGAAGGTGTTAACAGACACATGAAAACAATGGCAAGATCTTTTCTTCAGGTAATTTGCTCTAGAATTAAGCTATTTTAATTCAGAACTGCTTATCACATTAGGGAAATGTAATATAGATTGTGTACAAAAAGAAAAGTGTGTAAACACATCATTGAGCATAAAAGAAAGAACACATCTTTGGCCCTTTATGTTGGATAACACTGTAATAAGATCAGCTGAAACAGGAAGCAAAACTATAGACTAAATTCTTTGCAAAAAAATTACACCAAGAAAAAAACGACCTGTCTTTTTTTGTGCCAATATATACCTCTGAATACTTAATCAGTGACACAACTCTAGCCTTAATATTCCTAATAACATAACAAAAACAGGAGTATCATCCAAACCCACAAAATAAAATCTGTATAAGAGCTTTTACATAAGAAAACAGGTGGAAGGAAAGAGTTAATGCAATACCTCCAAATCACACAGTTCTACAAAAATAGTATCATCAGAGTGAATGGAAGTTTTGAGATGTACAGAGGAAGAATTGCTTGCTATAATCTAGTGCACTAAATTGTATATAGGATGCAGTGAGAGTAAACATATAATTTAAGCCGCATTCATCAGTAGCTAACATATTTGCAAGATGAAGTTACAAAAGCCTTTCTCCAGGGTTTTCACATGGCCACAACTGAAAGAAACAGGCGAGGTTCTAACATTTTCAGGGCAAGGATCAAAAATTTTATATTACTTTTTGTGAATTTAGTCATGTACCTAGACAATATATTCCCAGCAGATTGTTTTTCCTGGGTGTGATGTTCTGGGCAGAGCCTGAATGACTCAGGAAGTAAGATGTTTTAATATGTTCTAAACAGCTCCATATTTTATTGGCAAGATTTTGTAACTCCGTATAACCTGATCTCACATTCTTTCCAATGACTTTTATTTCACTCTTAATTTACAAAACATTTATACATAATCCCAAGGGTTTACCTATGATTAATTCCTGCCAGGTACACTATATCTGAACACTTCTAATGTGTTGAAGGCATTGGTTTTTGAAGAACTATCCATTAATGACTTTCTGAACTGTGACAATGGATATTGACAGTGCTTGTCAGACTAAAGCACTATTGATTGTCTCACATCATGTGTATAGCAAAACCAATTTCTTCCAAGTACCTCTTCCTAACTGAAATACATTATTATGGTGCCTATCTGTTTATTATAACCCCCAAAATTATTGTATGTAATTCATTTGGCTGGAAAGGGCTCATACAGAGTGAAGAGCAGCAGTGGGAATGGATAAGGCATTAAGAGATTCAAATAGCTTTACATTAATACCTTCTCTCCCATTAGCCTTTTTTAATATAAAAAAAAACCCAACCCACAACTAGTCTGGACTGTGCAAAATTTTTTTAATACTCTTGAGGCCTTCAAAATTTCAGGAAGTTCTTAGAAATTGAGATGACTTGTAGCTTAATGACAACACCCATAAACTGAGATTTAATAATTCTTTTCCCAAGGAATACTAAAATTGCAAGCTTGACCATTCAAAATACAGAATACACTGATCAAAATCCTAGCTGCAAATTTCTTCAAGTACATATGGACAGATTCACAGACTCAACTGTGATCTCTGGTGTCTTAAACTAATAATTTCCTTAAGTGCTTTACAGACTCATATTCAGAGTCCTCAGCAGCATCTTGCAGGACTGAATCAAAGCTGAAATGGCAAAAGGG